CTCCAGGCCTTTAGGTGGAGCTAAAACGCTTTAAGTGGGTTTGTCACCACACAGAAAACTAGTGAGAGTTGCAGGTAGCATGCAGATCCGTGCGTGTAAGTAGTTAAAACTTTTTTGCACAAAGGTAAAGCACTGCAAAAAAATCAAATTCTAGATGAGTAAGTTTTCTTAAAATAAGTATATTTGTTTTTGAATTTAGAAGATAAAAAGAGACATTTTGCCAATAGAACAAGACAATTTACTTTTAAAATAAGAAAACACATTTGCATTGTCTTATTTCAAGTGCATTTGATCTAATTATCTTATTTAAAGAGTAAAAATACTCCATTGGCAAACCGTCTCATTTACCTACTCAAATTAAGGGTAAAGACACTTAATTTAAGAATTTTTTTTACTTATTTCTAGATCATTCACTGGGAAAACGATCTAGAAATAAGAAAAAATTTCTTCAGTTAAGTGTATTTACCCTTAATTTAAGTAGTTAAATGATATTGTTCGCCAATGGAATGAGAATATTTACTCTTAGAATAAGATAATTGAATAAAATACACTTAAAATAAGACAATGCAGTTGTGTTTTCTTATTTTAAGTGTAAATTGTCTTGCTCCATTGGCAAATTGTCTATTTTTAATCAATGTTTGATAAAAAAAAAAGTTTGTTAAATAAATATTAAATTTTAAGCTAAATGATTATTTAACAAACTATATATAAAACATGGAGCTAAATATTTAATCTGCAGACTAAATATGTAGTTTGAAGCTAAATGTTTATTGAACAAGCTAAATACACTGCAAAACACATCTAGAAATAAGTAAAAATGTCTTAAATTAAGTGTATTTATGCTTAATTTGAGCAGGTAGATGAGGTATTTTGTCAATGGAATGAGTATTTTTACTCTTCAAATAAGATAATTAGATAATATTTACTTGAAATAAGACAATGTAATTGTGTTTTCTTATTTTAAATGTAAATTATCTTGGTTCTTTTTTGGCAAAATGTCTCTTTTTCCTCCTCAATCCAATAATAAATGCACTTATTTTAAGGAAAAGTGACTTATCTTGATTTCGTCTTTTTTCAGTGTAGTACACTGGAAAAACAATGCAGAATTAAGCAAAAATTTCTTAAATTAAGTGTATTTACCCTTAATTTGAGCAGGTAAATCAGATAGTTTGCCAATGGAAGAGTATTTTATACTCTTAAAATAAGATAATTAGATAATATACACTTGAAATAAGACAATGCAATCGTGTTTTCTTATTTTAGGTGTAAATTGTCTTGTTCCATTGGCAAAATGTCTCTTTTATTTCCTCAATCCAAGATCAAATGCACTTATTTTAAGGAAAAGTGACTTATCTAGATTTTTTTTACAGTGTAGCTTGAAGTTAGTACAAAGGAAAATCTAATTAACGCCCTAATTTCAACACCAAACGTGTTGATTGTCATGTTTATCAGTCATCTGCCTCTTCTTCCTGTAGAGACGCTTTTCTGCTTCTCCTCCAAAAACACCTTCATCCAGTTTACCTGCTGGCTTTCCTAGAAACACCAGCTGCTGTAATCTGCAGCAGCCATTAAGCATCCAACCTCCTCTGGGTTTGCTGCCTTCTTATGTCGTCACAGAGGCCGTTGTTGTCTTTTGCTCTGTGATGAATTCATAAAGATAAATCTGTGACTCATCAGCAGAAGAAGACAGTCAACAGAGCCGTTTGGATAATATCTCTGCGCTTTAAATCCTGCAGATCTCCTGTCCTAAAAACACAGATTTAGCTTAATCAGTCACATGCTCAGAAAGTTGCGCAACCGTCTCCGCTCTGAGTTCAGAGATGGAGTCACGGCTTAATCTGCAGGAGCTGGAAAAGATGGCGACCGCCTGAATCCTCATCGAATAACCTCTAATTAACCTCCTACTTCTTTAAGGTTGGATTTCCTTTAGTGTCTTCATTAAAAATCCAGGTGGTTGTTTATCAGTTTGTGGATCTTACATTTAAAAAAACCTTTTGTGCTAAAAAAAACTCTCCATGTTTCACACACAGAGGGGGGGGATTTACCATTAGGCAATACCACACAGTTGCTTAGGGCC